GCCTTGAGCTTGTTGGTCGTGTTTGTGTGGTCAGAATGCTTTGGAGCTTCTTCCCATTTGAAGCTGTCTTCATTGGGAGCACTTTCATGTAGCTGTAGGAACTTTAAAACTAAGAACTGGTGCCTGTACTTTGCTTCCTCCCAATTCCTTTTTCCTTGTGTGCTGTATCTGTTAGATTGGAGACCTGAGTCAGGGTTCTCCTTTTATTAATCTTTGAAAGCCTGATTTTGCTGAAGATGGGAGTAAAAAATCTATATACTGTATATAACTGCTCCCTGCATCAGCCCACCCTCCTTTCCCAGAATGGCTTCCATTGGTGGTTGTTCTGCCAGGGCAGTCTGTAGTGCCTTATGTTGTCAGGGTGAAATAAGTTGAATATGCTGCTTTTGCTTGCCTCTCGGTCTGCTTTTGTATCCTGTTGGCAGAGCCTCTGTTTTTATTTTAATGTTGGCACAGGCCCTGGTACAACTGGTAGCAGAAGTAGCAGAACTACAAGGGTGGATAGCACTAAAAAGGGCCTGTTTGTATTGGTATTTTATTTGTATTATTATGTTTTGTTTTATTTTTCTTATTTATGTAAGCCGTCCTGAGGCTATGCGGTGGGACGGCATACAAATACTCTAAATAAATAAATAGGGAGCTCTTGGAGGCTCAAGCTTTGATGATAATGCTAGTTAGCAAGGTGGGGAGGTGAAGGAGAACACCCCCATGGATGTGAAAAGATGTGATGAGACAGATTAGACGTAAGCAGAACCTCCGTAGGAAATGGGCACTGGGGCAAATAGACAAAAGGGTATACCAGGAGGAGGAGGCCCGTTGCAGAAGGATTCTTCGCAAGGCTAAGGCTGATTATGAGCTGTTACTTGCAAAGAACATCAAAATCAACAAAAAGGGCTTCTATCAGCATGTAAATAGCAAGTGGAGGGGGAGACAGGCAGTGGGCCTGCTTAATTAGGAGGGAGGGGATCCAGTGACTGATGCAAGGAAACAGGCACAGATGCTAAATGACTTTCGCCTCTGTGTTCTCCCCAAAGCAGGACATGGGAGATCCACATGGGGGATCAGATGAGGCTGGGAACTTAGGGGCACAGATTAGAGTCACCCCCCTAGAAGTTGAGGAGCTCCTCAAGGCACCGGGCCCTGACGGGTTACACCCAAGAGTACTTCAGGAGTTGGCAGGGGTTCTCTAATGCCCGGTGGCCTCCACTTTTGAGGCCCCATGGAGAACAGGTGAGGTTCCAGGGGACTGGAGGCTGGTGTCACTGGTCCCAGTTTTCAAAAAGGGTAGTAGAAGGGGCATGGGGAATTACAGACCTGTTAGCCTTACGTCCATTGTAGGAAAGACAATAGAAAGGCTCATAATAGTGAGAGATCTAATAACCCTAGAAAGGGAAGGGAGGTTGGTGGTCACACAACACGGTTTCCACAAAAACAGGTCCTCCCAGACAAACGTGTGGAATTGTATGACAAGGATTCGAGGTGGCTAGACAGAGGGTTCGGTGAAGGGCCACTAGGATGGTGGCTGCTTTGCAGGGTAAGCCATATGAGGAGAGACTGAGGGAGCTGGGCCTTTTCAGCCTGGAGAAGAGGAGACTCCGAGAGGATCTTTTGGTGACATAGAGGTATGTGAGGGGGTGTCATGCAGCGGTGGGACCTTTTTTCCCCTGTGGAGGAGGGCAGGATATGTTCCAGTGGGGCAAAGCTCAAGGATCCAGGCCTCACGCTGGATAGGAAGTATTTTCTGACAGTTGGATCCCTAGGATATGGAATGGGCTTCCACTGGAGGTGCTGCGGGCTGCATCGGTGAGGACCTTCAAGGAAAAATCAAACAGCTACATGTTGGAGATTACATTAGTGGAGCCAGCTGGAGCTGGGGCTCAGACTAGATGGCCTGGGAGGCCCCTTCTGACTGACTCTGTTTCTGTGTTTCTATGCTGGTGTTGCTGATGTTCTGGAATGACAATTCAAACAGACTCCAGGCACACAGAAACAGCTGCTCTCCCCCCGCCTGGTCCATCATAGAATTGTCCTCACCTGCATTTCTCTCTCAATTTGTTTTCCTCCATTTTGTAGTGCAGTATCTGTGCAGACACTGGCTGGGAAGGGACAGGGAAATGCTTATGCTGGGTTATTTATTTTTGGGTGACTTGAGGGTCATCTGTAAGTGTGCCTTTCCTCCTGTTCCTGATGGAGGAAGTGTGCCATGTTTAACTTTATCAAACCTAGCTTGCTTTCTGAGATTCTTTGAAGCTTGATTGCCAACTACCAGAAGGGATGCAGCTGCAGAAATTAGCTGTGGGGGCGGGGGGCACTTCCAATAGTTATCTGAGTTAGCAGACTGTGATCTCTTGAAGGTTTTCCATTTCTGCTCAGGGAGGTGTTTAAACTTGGAATGGAGGACATATTTTGTGCAGAGGCTAACCTGAGAAAGTGGTAGTGAGAGGGCAGTATTGACTAATTTGCATGGGCACAGCAGTAAATGCAATCAAGATATTATTTTCATGCATGGGTCATTGTTGGACGATCAAAAGCACCCCAGTTGCCTAAAGATGATCCATCCTGAACTGGTTATTCCCTAGTTCCAGCAGACTTTTGCCCCAGTCATTTCAAAAGGTTCTTTAAAGAGAGAATTGCCTGGTTCTCTTTGGGTTCTGCTGGAGCCCATCCCTTTTGCATAGGCCTGGTTTGTCTGAAAATACTTCTTTGTACTAAAATCAGAATCTGCCCTGCCAGCCCGGCAGCTCATGCACTCCTTGGGACAGGCCAGTTCCACCTGCCCTGCTGGGTCTGTGCAGGGCGCAGGCGGCGTTTCAGAGGGAACGTCCTACTGAGCAATTGGATGTTTGCCTCCACAAGTGGACAGCTGCAGCTGCCCCCACTGCTGGCGTCAGCGAGTACCGTGGCTGCTGATTTCCCCTGGGCACCATTGACCAGCCTTCTAGGTGGAGTGTGGCATTCTCTACCTTTGTGCCAGGCAAGCGGCTCACAGAGTGGCCCACGTGCGCCACATAAAACCTCCTTTCTCAGATGCTGATGACTGAGCTGCCCACTGCCAGGGTCTCCCTGCCCCTGGGGGAATGCCCACAGAGCGGGAGGTTGTTGGTTCAGCTCCACTTACAGATCCTGAGTGGGTCCTTTCTGAGGGACCATTTGCTCTCCCTCAGGGGGGCCCTTCTTTCCTGCAGCTCTCATTTTCCATAGCAGCTGCCAAGCTCTCGCCCCAGGAATGGGTTGCTGCTGTCGCCCCTTCCCCTCAGGAGCTGGTCTGCACACCTCTTGGACTCTCTCAGCAGCTTCAGATCAGCTGACTTGGTCTCAAGGGCCAAGTGCTCCCTGCACCAAGCGCACGGTCAAGACTGTGTCCAGTGGGCAGCGCAGACATTCAACACAATAAGAATCTAGACAACTTGGGTGCAGCACCATAATTCCCGGCTTGTTGTGGTGTATGGCCAAGGGCGTTTGGACTGGTTTCAGCCCAACGTGTGTAGACGGTGCTCCAATTTGAAGGAGGTTGCCTTTTCCATGTTTCCCTCGAAGTTTCCTCCCTTGGGAATGAGATGCTTCATCATCTGGGCCTGCCCCCTGTGCCTGGAAAGACAAGTCTGCAGCAGCCAGGTAGCTGTTCCTTAGGCATCTTAGCGTGAATCTACTGTTGAGCTGCAGCAGATTCCTGTGAGTAGAATGTTGAAGGGGGTTTCATCTGTTGAACCCCCTGAGAATAGAGTTTTCTTTTACTGGGGAAATGGACAGTGAGCAAAGATCAGGGGCAGGAAGAGTTCCATGGGAAGTGGAAGCATCCGACTCTCCCTAAACCAGCTTCAATTGGCACTTTTCTAGACTCGCACTCTTTGGTTTTAAAATTGAACAAAGAGATTTAAGTTGAGCTGAGGCCTCAGCCTGCACTTTCACTTCTATGCTACCCTTTCAACGTTAAATTGAGTATATGCTGAGCTTCAGCTGAACGTGAAGTGCATATTTTCTGTTTATAAGCAGACTTTCCCACCTGTTAGGTTGGCAGTGTGGCCTTTGTCAGTATAGAACCATTATTTTTTTCAACCCATTTCTGAAGTTGGGGCTTATTGGTGGTTGCCACTCAGGCCTCTCTGCTAGGACAGAGTTTTACAATAGACCTTTTCTACAGCATCATCTCCTTGCTCATTTCCCCTTGCTTCAGCTGCTCCTTAATCATACTAATAAATTATCGGTACTCGTCATCTCACGCTGACTTCCTAGGCATTTCACTTCACCCGCTGAGCCCCCAGACCCACTCCTACAAGGGGGCACAGCAGCCTCTCTTTCACACTGCACTTTATTCTCTGGAAGAGAAAAGACTGCGCAGCACCTCCAGTCGCCTGTCCCCGAGACCGAGCGGGGGAAGGAGAGAGGCCTTGGGCAGAGCCGAAGGACAGCAGGACTTTGGGCCTTTCACTGAGGCAGTGATTGTGCTTCAGGCAGTCCAGGGCTACGCGTGTCACTTGGCTTTCTCCATCCTTCGGGCTCACAGCTGATGTGGGGTGCTGCTATCAACATGTGCTTCTGTTTTGGAGGTGGGTGAGCTACCAGCAAGCGGACCATTTGTAGGGTTGTCACTGAGGGGACAAGATGTGGCCTGCTTATTGCTGTTATTTATGTGGAAGGACCCCCCCATGTGTGCTGCTGGAGTTTAATCAGTAGAAGGCAGAGACAGAAGGAGGGCAGGGGCATGAGTAGCAGATGGGGAGAGTCAGAGGAAAGTGAGGGATGGATGAGTTTACGCAATTATGTGTTCTTAGACTTGGCTACAGTTGGGAATGAACTGGAAGGGGTTATGACAAACCTGTTGTGGAAAAGCCCGGTCTTGTGAAGGGACTCAAAGGAAAGAGAGAGGTGTCACCAGAATGTCATTGTGGGGAGTGGGTGAGGGAGGGCATTCCAGCTCATGGAATCGTTTGAGAAAAGGAACCTTTAGAAGAGCCCACGCTAGGATCATTCACCACCGAAAAATTGTTTTATTTCCACAGGGGACGATTAGTGTTGGAATCGATGCCACCGACCTCTTTGATCGGTATGATGAGGAATACGAAGATGTACCAGGGAGTGGCTTCCCCCAGATTGAAATTAACAAAATGCACATATCCCAGTCCATTGAGGTAACCTGTGTGTGTGTGTGCATGAGAGAGAGAGAATTTATTTCAACCGTTTCTGTGTTATGGAGGCACGGCAGCACAGAGCAACAGAAAAGGAAGTATGGCACCGGGATGGAATTAACAGTTTGGAAATGGTGACTGAGGTGCATGGCCAGCTCCTTTTCAGCTGAGCCATGTGCTGTGGGATCTCACATAAGCGCAAGCATTTTGCACTTTCCATGTGGTGCCACGTGGCTTCTGTCTCTGGTGGTTCCTTGGCCAGGTTTTCCTTGCTCTGCCCTGCTGGGCATGTGCTGGAGATGGCAAATATTTGGAATCTTCTCTCCATAATGGATGAGGTTCCTCTGCTTGCCAAGCTATTGGCTGAGCTGTGTGATGTCACAGGGCATTCACGAATGGACCAAGTCTGGCCTGTGGTGAGTGGAAGGACCCTTTTCTTAATTTGGCAACTGGCATCATGTTTCGTGCTGGCTGGATGCATGGAACTTGAGCGAGTGAGGCAGGTTTTTCATGTCAGTTGTTTGAAAGAGCAGTCATATGATGAATTCTAAGTGTGTATTTGATATTTTGTTCATGATTTAGCATTGAAAGAAATGGTAACCATTCACTTCTATGGAATGGGTTAGGGCAGGGCTAGGGGTGCACATGGGGTATGCTATGTAGAGTTAAGTCCTATGTAGAGCAGACCCATTGAAATGAATGAACCTTGATTTAGTTGTGACTAACTTGAGTCTCATCCATTCAGTGGGTCTACTCTACACAAGGCTAACACTGGGATATCACCTGTTCAGGTGGGTCTGCATCTGCCCAGGTGTTTGCTTGCCACCCAGGATCATGACTGCTGCTTTCTTTATAGCTCCACCAGAACACCGCTGCAGGAAAGCCAGGGTTAATCATGACAAGTCAATTTCAGTGAAAAACGAAAGAAACTCAGTTCCATTGTAGGAAAATATGCTGGTGTACAAGCCCCTTAAGAACATTATGTAGGGAGTGGGCCCAACACAGTTGTCCTAGATTCTGATTCAGAACTGGAAAAAGAGGTGGCGTTGAAATTTCCAGCTGAAAGGCCAAGACCATTGGACCTGCAGATAAGCCACCTACCTGAGAACCAATCAGTTACAAGTTTGTGGGAGGGAATTCTGGGGGCAAACTGAGATGAGTTGTGAGCTAGGCCACTCCCAAGCAAGACAGTCACTCCAGCTCTTCTTGTAAGAGTTTTTTATCCTGCACAGGAAATCCAAGCATTCACAAAGCTCTGGGCATACACAGGGAGAAGCGCTGATCCCTCTCTGCCCCCCTTTACCCAGAGCTTTGCTTATGAACCTTTTGGGGCCTGTCTCTGGAAGGTGGGGCGCTGTGAAAACGTGCCTCTCTGTGCTCTGCACTCTGAGCCCCTAACTGGGCCAGCTTGTGGCTGTGACGACAGGCCCTCGAGTCCACGTCTTGAGTAGGCTCATATTCTCCATCCGAGAGCTCTCCCCACTCCCATCCTTCATCTGCCTCATTCCCACAGGCAGGAGGGAGACTGGGCCCCTGGCCGTCCTTGAGCTACTTCCATCCAGCGTAAGCTTGGACTGGCGCTGCGGGGAAGGTGCAGGCAGTGAGCAGACACAGACCTGTCTGTTACAACTACAACTCCGTCATTGAAGTGTGAGCTCTTAGCCTGGTCTGGTTCAGCCATCCCGACATCATCCTCTGAGTCTGAGCTATCAGTCCCACCAAAACCAGCCGTCTCTCATGCGCACCTGGAAATCTCATCCGAGCATGTGCGCACAACAGTGACTGGCTGTGAATCTTGTCCGGACATACGGTGTCAGGGAAGGAGACCAACTGAGAAAGATCAGATGCTCCCATGCCTGGCCCATAAGCAGCAGGATCTGCCATAAGCAGCAGGAGGGACCAGAACTCTTGCTTGGAGGGGAAGGGAGGCATTCAACATATTATGACTTTCCTTGTTTCTTTTGTTACCAATTTCTGCAATTCTGTTTTTTGGTATTAAAACCCCACCTACCTGGTCAGTTTTAACACAAAAGACTTTTGCTGGAAAGGAGTGGAAATGGGCCAGCCTGCGACCCCACTGGCTGCTTGGCTTATCGTAGGTGGGGCTTGTGCGCATGGCTATGGTCTGTCTGTCCCACAGGCTCCACTGACCGCCACAGACACGGCCATCCTGTCGGGAAACCTCTCAACCCAGAACGGGAATGGAGGTGGCTCTGTCAACCTGGCTCTGAGGCGGGTGACATCTGCAAAAGGATGGGGAGAGGTAAGCAAACTTGTTCCAAGGCATCACCTGTCCCAGGGTTGACTGCCAACCTCCTAGAAGCCACTGTTGCCACCGCTTTTTCTGCACCTTCTGTGCTACTGGGAGGTTTCTAATAATTCTGTTTCAAGGCAACCGAGGCCCACTTGTTACAATGCCCAAAGGGCAGGTAATGTTAAGACCAGTAATGTTACCTGTCCTTTTCTCTTTTTGCATGGGTCCCAGTCTCAGGATGAGACTCTGACCAGCCCCACCCTCTTGTTAAACCAGCCATGGGCCGAAGCAAAGGCGAAGTCTCTCTCTTTGTGTAAGAACACAGGCAGTTGCCTCAACTGTCCAGCCTAGATGGACACGCCCTCGGTCCCTCTAACTCAGTGCTGGCTGGCAGCAGTGGTTCTCCAGGCTTCCCCATCAGAGTCACCAGCAGATTCAAGACCACCATTCTCTGCTTCCTCTTGCATAGGGGTGCTCCAATAGTTTGAGAAGGGACTTATCCCCTGGGCTTTTAGTGATGGTGTGTTCAGAGCAGGGATGTATGCGTTTAGTTAAATCCGTTACATCTGCACTTCAAGAATTGTCAGACATTTTTTGTTCTGTTATTCATTGTCAGAATTGGATTTTTCTAAGGGATATATGAGAAATTTATTCCACTTGTACTAAAGTGTATTTGCTTTAATATATGTCTTGGTGCTTGTGAATTTGCAGAATCTCCCTTAAAAGTGACAAACCAGTCCGCATAACTCAAAACTAAAGTTGGTCTGCTGTAGAATCCAAAGTACAGATTTGCACAAATCAGAATCATTTGAATCAGGTGCATATTTCCCCAGCATGCCTAATGCAGAATGTTCCTGGTGCATTCATTGCTTTAGTCCACAAGAGGCATTCCGGCCCGCAGTGATGGTCTGCATGACTCATTTCCTGCTGTGAGTGCTGCAGGTCTTCTAAGGGAGCAGAGTCATCTGCTCTTTCCCTGGACCTGCCATGCGCCTGTGGAGTAGACGCAGAGGATGCGCTGAGCAGAGGGGCCAGTTCTCCTGGATGACCATAAGTGGGAGCATGAGGTGATGGGGAGACAGATTCTCCTGCCAAGGCTTAACTGGTAGCAGCACCCAGAGGTGCCAGTGTGGGGCTTTGATAACAACATAGTGAATGCTGTCTGGCTAGCCCCACAACTTGATTGAGTAGGAACTTGGGCAGTTCCTCTTCCCTTCTAACTGTTGTATGCCTTCTCGCACACAGCTGGAGTTCGGAGCTGGAGACCTTCAGGGGCCGTTGTTTGGTCTAAAGGTGTTTCGGAATCTCACACAAAGATGGTGAGATTTAAGGAATGGTTTCCATACCCTCCTGGAAAGAAGCGGGCTGGGTTATTTTGTACTGAGTGATTCCACAAGAAACAAACTCTTGTGAGTCCCTTAAGGAATTGTCTCGACAGACAGGTTTGCAGATCCAAGTCCAATGTACTGATTTGCCATGTGCAGTGCCACGGCACAGAAGTCCTTTTCAGCTGCTACCAGGACATAATCTTTACTGGTGCCTACAAGCAGTCCTGGTCTTCTGGAGAGGTGAAGATCCCTCAGCCTCCCATGAACCTGTGCTTTGGGAGAGCCTAAGAAGGGACCAGAGTCTCTCCCACTCTCTGCCTGCCTGCCTGCCTGCCTGCCTGCCTGCCTGCCTGCCTGCCTGCCTGCCTGCCTGCCTGCCTGCCTGCCTGCCTGCCTGCCTTCCTTCCTTCCTTCCTTCCTTCCTTCCTTCCTTCCTTCCTTCCTTCCTTCCTTCCTCGGATGTTCCAGAAGATTTGAGGGAGAGGCACAGAATGGTTGATGAAGACAAATCAGTTTTCCTAGCTCCTGAAAGTGAAAGGTCCCCAAGTAACAGATTGAGCCCGCAACCTTGGGAAATAGAACTGCTCTGGGCTTTGGAGCTACCATGTTGCTTCCTGGTGTCAGGAGTCAGCTGATCAGTTCTGGCAGCCTTGACACCTGCTGAGTCAGTTGTGCTAAGACTGGCCCTGGGTCACTGGCAGCTCATGCCCTGCAGCAACCTGTCAGGTACTGCTAACAGAATGGGTGCCTGATCCGCCCCATGTTTCTTTTCTCCATATTTGTACCACTTGGATTTTTCCAAGTGCAGTTTTTGGAACAGCTGGGGTCTTTTGGGCAGAAGATCAGGGCAGGCATGGCCTTTAGTGGAGGGTGGGGAGGTTTTACTCCACAGTTTTTCTAATCATGCAACACAATAGCAGTAGTTAATGGGGATCTGCATGGTGGGGGGCACTCATCTTCAAGTCATGGGTCAGGACCAAGAACTTCTTGATTTTGTTTCCATAATATCATTTTAGTGCTTTCTCTCTTAAAGGACAAGAAAAAGAAACAGAAAAAATAAAGTGGAAGAGGAGGGGGGAGCAAAAGAGTAAAAATGCCCCAGTTTTAAAAAAATGTACAGGTGGGCTTGAAGGTGTATTCTTGATGTGGAAAGTTGTAGAGCAAGGGAGGGCAAAAGGTTCTGGACGTAGCTCCCACCTTTCTGGCCCCTGGCAGTGCTGGCAGAGACCTGCAGAAGATGCATTCTAAATCTGCCTTTTGCACACCCTGTTGTCGGGCATCTGCGATTGCCCATCCTTGCATGCCTACTTTTTTGACCAGGATGCCATGTTCCTCAGTGGCCAGAAGATGGCATACCTTTTGCCTTTGCCAATAGCTTTCTGAAACACAGGGCCCTCCCACTCCACTTCTCTCACATAAACCAGGGTTTGTTTTGACTTTCAAAATGGACAAATCTACTTTTCACTTCAAAAGTTTGAAACAGAAATACTATGGAAGTTGCAACTTTGCAAGCCTTTTCAAATTCAGTTTGTGATTGGAACTAAAATGTGATGGCAAAGGAGTACTCTGAGCTGAGGGAGGGGCAAAGCCACCCTGAAGTCAGCTGACCCTGAGTGAGAGCCCACCCTGCCCAGTGTCCAGCCCCCATCACCTGGCTGTGACTCCGTAGGGATTCCAGCAGAGCCTTTGCTTGGAATGCCCGGGGTCAGACCTCAGCCTTCTGGGACAAAGCAGCCATGGCCTCGCTCTGCAGCGGGCCCTGCCCCACCACCCAGCGGGGTCATGGCCCTGCCTCCTCCGCTTTTGAGGACTGCGGGCAAATGTCCAGTTGCAACAGGCAGTGGAAATGAGGACATACTAGGATGAGGCACACTGGAAGCAGCTGCCAGATCCCTCTGAGCAGATTCCTCTCCAACCCTGCACAAGCTCTGATGCCTGCTGGAGAGGGTTGTGCCTGGACACCGTGTGGGTTGGACTGCCCTGGGTGAGCCTGACCATGATTGTTGTTCAGTTATTATATTTCTGCTCAACCCAGAGGGTCCCTGGATGATTTACACAGCAAAATTACAATAATCAATAACACATGATAAAATCATAACAATGCACTTAATAAATAGAATAATGCAAAAAGCAATAATACAATAATCCACCTCTGCCACCACAGCTAAAACAATCTCAGTGGTAAACATATATTTTAATAAAATAGGAGGATAAAAATCTACTTGTTAAAATATTGGGAACATAAAAAGGTTTTCACCTGGCACTGAAAGGAATAAAGAGAGGGCACTGAGCACATCTGCTTGGGGAGCTGATTCCCAAAATAGGGCACCCCAGCTCAGAATGTCCTTCCCCTAATAGTCACCCTCCTTGCTTCCCTTGGAGGGGGCTCCCTGAGAAGGACTTCCACTGGTGATCTTAGAGTTCAGGTAGGCACATAACAGAAGGAGGTGTTTAGGGCTTTAAATGTTTTTGTTAGCACTTTGAATTGGGCCCAGACTTCAACCGGCAGCCAGTGCAGCTGAACGAGGGCCAGCATGACGGGTCCATCTTGGCTGGTCCCTGTTAGCAGCCCCGCTGCTCTGTTTTGAACCAGCTGGAGTCTCCGGACTGTTTTCAAAGGCAGCGCCACACAGAGTGCATCACTGCAGCCCGAACAAGAGGTTCCCGGCGCACGGATCGCTGTGGCTGGCCTCTGCCTGTCCAGGTAGGGTCACAGTTGGGAAATCACCCTGAGCTGATAAAAGGTGCTTCTGCTCACCAAGGCCACCTGTGATTCCAGTGACAACTTGCAATGTAGGTGCACCCCCAAACTGCAAACCCCGTCCTTTGGGGGAGCACAATGCCACCCAGGACAGGTTGAATATTTTCCAGCTGGACAGACAAGCCACCTACCCACAGTTCCTCTGTCTTGTCTGGATTTCTTGGCGCTCCAGACATGCATCAGAATCTGGCAGGGTGCTAAACAGCAGCAGTAGAGTAGAGGAAGGGCTTTCCCATTTTTCTCCCTTCCAAGCCCAGCAGGAAGAATGCATGTAGAGGGGTGTGGAGGCACTCGTGGGGCGTCCTTGGCCTTTGGAGGTGGACGAGGGATGTGGACGAGGCCTCTTGCAGCCAGCAGTCCCCTGCGGAAGTGGTGGGAAGGAACGATGTCTCGGCCGTGCGGAGTGAGTTGTTCTCAGGATCTCACCATTCTTGCCTCGTTTGCAGTTTCATCACAACAAACTGCGCCTTGCAGTTCTCCTCCCGTGGGATCCGGCCTGGCCTGACCACTGTCTTGGCACGGAACCTAGACAAGAACACGATGGGCTACCTGCAGTGGCGCTGGGGCATTCAGTCAGCCATGAACACAAGCCTTGTCCGGGATACAAAGACCAGCCACTTCACAATGGCGTTTCAGGTGGGATCCTGCTCCTGTTGCCTCCATCATCTTTTTGCAGTGGGTATCTGCAGCTTGATTGCGGGGCATGGCTTAAGACGGGATTTTGCCAGTAATCTTAGAGGGCTTTTCAGGACACATGCACTCACCCAAGTTACCTTTCTGGATGTGGAGGCGAGTCTGTGACTTCTTCAGGTGTAGAAGCCAAAGAACAGCACTCCTTCCTCTTCCTTTGTCTGGTTGCCCTGTCACTTTGCCCCAAGGTCAGTCTCCTGACTCATGTGCATCGATAAAATGGATTAGCAGCAAATTGCACTAAACAGCAACCCGTACCACTGTGTCCAGTGCATCTTTAATGTGCAGAATTCAGCAGCAGCCCCTGGGTTAGCTGGCTTTAAATGGGGCTGAGTGGCTGTTCACCACAAGGACTATATGGAATTTGTACATTTGGTGGGAGCATGCCATGAAGCAGTGGCTGCTGCAAGCAGGAGCGGAAGGTGGGGGCACCTGCTTCTAGCCCTGCATGCCGGGATCCAGGTGACCAGTGCTACTGAAAGAGGTGGGCCATAGCCTGCTCTTGCAAGGCCATCTCATTTCTAATTCATGTGCTTTTATTTATTTATTTTTAATTACACTATTAGTCACCCTGTAACTGAGGTTCTCTGGGTGACAGATAGTTTAGAAAAGTTACAATCCCAAAACCAGTCCACACCTGTTGTTACGTTTCCCCACCCTATCCTGAGGACACTGCAGGAGTTACCCAACTAGTTGGCCACCCTGCTTCTTGCAGTTGCCATTGGCCCTAGTTGTCTGGCAACCACTTGAATGTGGAGGTTCCTCTTGACTGGGGTAGTGTAGGAAATGCCTTTGTGCCATGTCCATTTAAAGCCCTTTAAGCCTGTGTTCCTCACCAAATTCTGTGGCAATGAGACCCATGATTCTGGTACGCATTCAGGGAAGAAGGCCCACCCTGCTTCCAGCTGTCTTTGAGCTACTGCCAAGATGTCTATGGGAGACATCTCGATCCAGTGACTTCCAGACTTGTTGAACTGTAATTTTCATAATTCCCTGCCAGAATGACCACTGGAGTTATGGGAGTTGCAGTCCAACACATCTGAAAGGCACGAGGTTGTGGAACACTGCTTTAGGAGACAAAGACTGAGAGAAAGGAACAGAGAAGTTGGTGGTCGGTTGACTCTGAATTTCTGTGGCTTTTCAGCTGGGTATCCCTCACTCCTTCATAATGGTCAGTTACCAGCACAAGTTTCAGGATGAGGATCAGACTCGGGTGAAAGGTTCTCTCAAGTAAGTCTGCTCCAAAGCACTGCTGGACGTGCTCCAACAAGGGCTCCAGCCTGGGCTCGGTGGGCCTGAACACGCTTCTGTGCAGGGGTTGCTCTCGGGAAGAAAAGGGAAGGCAGCGCCTTCCTGGAGCAGCTGCAGCAGGGCCTCTGCGGGGCCTCGGGAAGCCTGGGCGCAGCCTCCGCATCTCCTTCCGCCAGCTGCTCAGAGGCCAGCCATGGCGTGGAGTGGTCAGGCAGCTCTGCGGCACGGCAGCCCCTACACCCAGGCCAGGGGCCTGCCCTCGCCCGACTGTGCCCAGTTCTCTGCTTTCAGGGCTGGCTTTTTTGGGACCATTGTGGAATACGGTGCAGAGCGGAAGATCTCTCGGCACAGTATCCTTGGAGCCACTGTCAGCGTCGGCATTCCCCAGGGCGTCTCTCTGAAAGTCAAGTGAGTTGGCCATCTTAGCCCGGTCTCTCTCGTCCTCTGTGCTTGTCTCTCTCTCGCTCCCTGCTGGGCCACTCTAGCAAAGACTTCAGGGCCCCAGGCATGGAGACACCCGGGAAGGCCTGCAGCTGGGACCCCCCCAGGCCCTGCCTCTTCAGTGTCATCCCCGTCCAGGCTCTGGAGCCTCCTGGCCTTCCTGGTGGGTCTCCCCCCCCCGGTGTTTTCTCCTTGTTCACCTGCCTGAGTGAGTGAGTGAGGGGAAGAAGCCATGTGGGGAAGGGCCCACAGGGACTGTGGCGGCAGAGCAGGGGCCATGCACAAAGGCCCCCCAGAACTCAAGGCCAGGAAAAGGGCTTGGTTGCTTTATGGCAGCCTTCCACAGTGCAGCACCTTCCAGGTGCAGTGGACTACAGATCCCAGAATCCTCAGTGAATAGCCATGCTGGCTGGGGTCAGATGGGGGCCATTTGACCCCAACTTATCCGCAGGGCCCCAGTTTGCGGAAGGCAGTCGTATGCCATGTGGTTGCCTGTGTCCCTCTTTACTGACAGCAGCTGGCCCAGTATAGGAGGGAATATTGCATTGCTTTCCATGGGACCCCCGCCTGGTTCTGAGTCAATGCTGGCTTGGGGGCTGGGTAATGCAGGCTTCTGGGTGACTCTAGCAGGATGCGTGCCAGTCTGGGGCACATGTTTAGGTTTTGCCAGCAGAAGGCTCTGGGACTCCGCAGAACTGTCTGCAAAAGATCAGAGATCTGCCTGGGGGCTGGCTAAGAGAGCACCCAGGCTTCTGGCACCCGGCTGCACGTCAGTCCACGTGGGGCTCACGGGCTGCTCTTGCGGGCCTGGCTGCGCACTCCCGCAGGCTCCGGGGGGCTTCTCTGCCTCGCCATGGGAGTGCCGGACAGCCGTTTGCCTGGCAGCTGAGCAGTGTGGGGGCTGGAGAGAAAGGCGTTCCTCAGTATTTTGGACTACAACTGCCAGCGCTTCTGACCAGTGCCCGGGTGAGCCGGGGTTGATGGGAGCTGCAGTCCAGAGAATTTGGAAATTGCCAAGCCTTTCTGGCCCCTTTTGTGTGTCATGTGTGGTTTCCCCAGCCGGCACGCACTCTTTCCTTCTCTCCACCCCAGGCTGAACAGGGCCAGCCAGACGTATTTCTTTCCCATCCACTTGACGGACCAGCTGCTGCCCAGCGCAGTCTTCTATGCGACCGCAGGGCCTCTCGTCATCTACTTTGCCATCCATCGGCTTGTCATCCGGCCCTACCTCCGGGCCCAGAAGGAGAAGTGAGTGCCCTCCTTCCCAAGCAGCTGGTGGGAGCGGGGAAGAGCGCCAATCCACAGGCACGTGCCACCCAGGGAGGAGAGGCCTGCCACTCCTAGCGGCTGTGCGGTGCTCCCTGGTCCAGCGGCCAAATCCCCAGGGCTGAGGCGGGGCCGGGCGGCCGAGGGGAGGCCTTTCCTCATGCCCTCTTCTGGCCGGCTGGCATGAGAAGCAGGCTGCTCAGCTGGAAGGCATATCAGCTTGAACAGCAAGGCTCTTCCCGCACGGTGACAGGAGAAGAAAGAGCCTGGCCTGAGGGACCAACGTGCCTGCCGTGGGGTGGGGGGATGCCCTTCCCGCTCCCGCCACGCGACGGGGGCCCTCTGGCGGGAGTCGTTCTCCGAGGCGGGCTGCGCTTTGCGAACCGGGCCTGTGCCTGAGCTATGCAAGCCACCTCGTTTGCTGCCCCGTCCTTAGGGGTTCACGCTCTTGGGGGGCAGGTGCCAGAGGGGAAGCAGCTGCTCGGCACTGAGCGCCAACCTCTTCTCCCACACTAGAGAGCTGGAGAAGCAGCGAGAGTGCACTGCCAGTGACACTTTGCAGAAGAAGCAGGAAGCGGAAGCTGCCGTACGTCTCTTTGTTGGTTCATTTGTTTTTCCCTCAGAATGCTGCGTGTTCTGTGTGTGTCCTTTTGCTTGTTTTGTTAGTATCACTGACCCAGGCTCCACCTCGGGGGGTTTTCTTCAGTCCTAAAAGCTGACAGTCCAAGTTTGTGCTAATCAGCTTCAGCTTATTTGCCTCATCTCCTGCCTTTAACTGAAGATTGTGGTGTCATTTTATTTATTGGTTTGCTTTCCCATTTATACTTCTTCACGTGTTTCTTGAACAGTGATGCAAATCTGATCACTAACCACGGTAATGTAGAACTTAGCAAAATATTCTTCACAGCAGTGCATCTCTTGGTCATGACCAGCACCATGACTGTTTTCGAGGTTACTCATGGGAAGGTAGGAGCCTGGGCCTTCTCCTTTTGCGGTGCCGCTCCTCTCCGCTTTGCCACACTTTTCTTCTGTGCCTCTGATTAGCAGAGCCCTTGGATGCTGAGTTCTTTTGGGCGCCTTTTTGTAGGTGCGGCTGATGCAGGAGTCTGTTCGGAGGATCATTGAGGCTGAAGAAGCCAGGATGGGTAAGGTTCACGGGGGGTGGGGCTTGCCTCAAGGTGTCTGGCCTAGCAGGAGAATGAACCAGCTAGGGGTCTGTGGGGTTCTGCGTTGGATTTTTAAAACACGGCTTTTTAAAACAGGATTTTTCAAGCGATGAGGCTGTCAGTTTAGCTGCAGGGCAGTATGCAGTCCATGTGTGTGGACAACGCACTTTAGTTCAGTGGGATGGCTCGTGATTTGCATAGGCAACTGCATCGTTCTTAGGGCCATTCTCAGGATGCTTCCCCAGGAGCTTCCACCAAAGGAAGTGAGGTAGGAAGCTTCTAAGAGGAGGGCCAACTCTGGTGGCCTTCAGATGACTCCCATAACCCCACAGCCAACCAGCAATCCTCCAACTGATTAGAATTGGTTGCAGGATTCAGCATCTTAAAAAAAACTTACTCAAGTTTCTGGCTCTCAGGATAGCTCAAAACATGATGAAGCAGAGTGGGAAGACTGAGCATGAGCCCGCTTTTCCGTGGGCAGGCAGCCCCGCTGCAGTGCCCTGCAGAATTCCACGCCCTCCCTGGCGCACAGAACTGATTGCGAGCTCGGCTTTCTCCATGCGCTGCCGGCCCCGCAGGGTGAGGCGGCTGCCTCCTGAGCTTCAGCCGCGGAGGGAAGGCCGTGCTGCCACCCAGTGATGCTGCGTCAGAGGTTACGGCAGGCGTTTCCCTGAGCCCTTTGGCCACTCATGGCTCCTCTTGGTTGCAATGCAGGCCTGATTGTGGTGAATGCCTGGTATGGGAAGTTTGTCAATGACCAGAGCAGGAAGAACGAGAAGGTGAAAGTCATTGACGTGACGGTGCCCTTGCAGTGCCTAGTGAAGGACTCCAAGCTCATCCTCACGGAAGCATCCAAGGTAAGGGCATCTCCGGGCTGGGTGAGGACTGGCTTGGGGCCTGCTTTGTTCACATCCCACGTTGTGAGGCCTTCGGGAGGTACTTGTATGTGAGAATTGTAAAGTGTGAACCCTCTCTTGGCCTTCTGTGGTGCTGTGTGAGAACTGCTCTCTGTTTACAGCCGATCAGCAGGATTTCCATACTGGAGTCATAGGGCAGCGCTCTCCCCCTTTGCTGCTCTAGATTTTCGCTGTACTTGAATGGCCTGTGGCATTCTCCCTGTGCAGGCTGGCCTGCCCGGCTTCTATGACCCTTGTGTCGGGGAAGAGAAGAGCCTGAAGGTGCTCTATCAGTTCCGTGGAGTTCTGCATCAAGTGATGTCCTCTGACAACGAGGCCCTTCGGATACCAAAGCAGTGTGAGTAGCAGTCTGAAGAGCTGCCTGGGAGCGGGAGAGGTGGGAGTGGCTCTCCCTTTCCGCAGGCCTCTCCTGCACTCACCACCACCAGTCCTTTCCACGTTTGGCAGCTCAGAGCAGGTCGGAGCAGTCAAGCAGCTGTCCGCATCCTCGGCTTTCATTTCATGATTTGCACAGAGCTCTCCGGAGTGCCTTGCCGGCCTGAACGTGGGACCATTTGTGGGCAAGGACCTTGGGTGGTTCCGAAGGCCTGTTTCTTGGTCTGGTTCTGCTGCACTCCTTCCCTGAATAGGCAGGGGGCTGAGTGAAGGGGGAGATCTGCTCGGTGGGAGCCCAGAAGTGGCTCTGTGGCCTCGGCTTCCTCAATGGCATGTCTGCATATTTGCCAGTATTTCAGCCTTTCTTTTCTTTTCCCTCCTCTCTCTGCATCCCGGTACAACAGCTCACCGGATTGATATGGACAGCTAATCGGATGGGGAAGCGTGGCTGCTGCTGGATCGAGCGCAGGGTCGGCGGAAAGCGAACAGCCCTTCCTCCCTGGATGCTCTGTGTCCTCAGCCTGACGGAGGCGCCGCTTGCTTTGGGATGGACACCAAAGGTGGTTTTACGCCAATTACATTGTGGGACAGAATGAAAGGGAACGGCTTTGGCCAGGCTGTGGCACCCCCTGGGGGTGTGCGCTGGGACACGCTGGCCTGTCCTGCCTGCTCCTTGCCCAGAGTAGGCAGGGGAGGGTTGCCAGCTGGACACCCCCCTTGCAGCTGCCACCACCAGCCAGGCTGCTCTGGGGGCCGGAAGGCGTGTCCCCTCTCTCGCAGTGCGCAGGGCTGCTTCAGCGAAAGCGTGTCACGGGCAGAGGGCAGCCACTGCATCTGGAGCCTCCTCCAGCCCTGCTGTTCCTTGGCGATGCAGAGGGTGGCTCACAACTCGGCGCCGGTGCCTGGCATTGGCCGAGCTCTTCCCTCCCGGCAGGGCTGTTGTGCTGCCGTGCCGTGCTCAGCTTCTGCCCTTGCAGGAGCTTCAGCATCTCCACCTGTGTTGGCTGTGGGCAGCCTTCGGAGCATCTTCCTGAGGCAAGTTCCCCAGGTATGCAGCTGGCGCGCGTGCCAAGGCAAGCCCGGCAGCCTCTGGCAACCTTGGAGCACATCCATGGGCCCCTGGTGCAGCCTGCCTTCTGATCCTGTGGTGTTGCTGCTGTTTGGAGTCCCTCAGGCAGCTTCCTAGTAGCCTCTGCCCTGAGTAAAGCAATCGCAGATGCCGGGATGGCTGGACCCTTGCCAGCTGTGCGGCTCCCTCCTTCGAATCAGGCGCTCTTCCCGTTTCTGAGTTTCACAGAGCCTTTCTTTCCACCTTGGCACCAACTTTTGTTCCAGTCATGTGCATTTCCTTAGTCAGCTGACTGTAAAGGGTCTTGTTCCTGTGGTCATGTGCACACACACATCCTGTTTCCTTTTGTATGAGTGGAGCGGCCACTGCCTCCTTTAAACCTGATGGCAGAAGAAGAACACAGTCTTGGCCATAATGGCAGCGATCCCATTTGCAAAGCATCGCGTTTGTTTCCAGCATATGTAAATGCCTGGTTTCTTCTGGAACCAGAAACAGGCTGGAGCGAGCGCGCCAAAAGCAAGCAGCCCTCGCGCAGGACGTCCTTCGGACAAAGGCCGGCCCACCAGGACCTGCAGCTTTCTGAATGCGGCCCATCCCAAGCAACACGCCCGTGCTGTCTCCCCCTGCCCCCCCTGCCTCGTGCAGGCAGGAATCTTGCAGAGTGCATGAGCTGCTGATGGGGTGGGGCCTGTGTTTTCCTCTGTAATAAAAGGACAATAAAATGGCCCACGTTCATGGAGGAGGGTGTTTTTGTGCAAGAAGGGGCCTTCTGCAGGGGTACTAAAGTCTGAGTGCACCGAGGTGCGCTGCAGTCTGCAGAGATTGCCAGAGCCCCTGGTCCCGATCTGTGAGAAGACTGCAGCTCCCACCAGGCTTGGTGCAGTTAAGAGTTCACCAGGGAGGAAGCAGCACAGGTTAGCATAAGGTTCTCCTGTGCATACTTCTGTTTGCCTCTTGCAAGTACCAACATAGGGAGAATTCCCTCATTTTTTAAAACCCATTTTAGATTCTTTTCTTACAACATGTTCTAAAGAAAAATACATCTGTTACGAAAAAAAGGTTGCATCCAGTGCTTTCCCTCTCCTGATGAAAGTTTTTTTGGTCCAGCAGAGATTTCCATAAGCAAAACGTGCAGAAGAGTTTTACATTGTTCTTTGGCTGTTGCAGACACCTGTCCCCTAGGATGCGAGGACAGATTTGGGCAGGAATGCGGATCCATGGAAGCTGCATTTTCCGCTCTGCTCAGAAACCCTCTGCTGGCCCAAGAAGCTGTCTGACAGCAGTGTGTCCATCAGAGTGTCCAGCGCAGCTGAATGGACACTGTCACAATGAAAGCAAGCTGCCAGGGCAAGAAATAACATTAAAACAGCAGTCAGCCTGTTAAGCAGAAAGTTCAAAGCACACCAGCACAACAACCGCTTCAATCGAGCCCTGAAAATCATGAGAGAGCTGCAGTAACTCCGTAAGCTCTCCAGGGTCACTCAGAGCCAGCCAAGCCCCACTGGTACAGATCTCTGGCGAGGGCCACTGCCCCAGACAGCCCCTCCCCTGCCTGCCCACCAACCCGGTAGCTTTCCCAGATGAGCCAGGCCTCAGAAGTGGACTGTTGGGTGTGGCAAGCGGAGGACGGTGAGGGCAGCCCTTCTCATTCCAGCTTTCAACATGTATAGCGGCTCCTTCACTCCAACTGGGCTCAGTAATTCACTGGCAAGGACCTCCCCATGGAGAATTGCTCTAAGCCAGCTCCGCTGTGGAATACAGCCCTGTTTCCCTGCTAAGGGGCACTGAGTCAGTGGTGCGCCACCCTGACCTTGAGGTGAGGGAGGTCTGCTGCATGCCGGGCACACACATCCAGCTCATGGCAGACAGAATAGAGCATCTTCTTCCCTTGGGGTGTCACCAACTGCTTCTGGTGTTCCATGTGGGGACGAACAACACGGCTAGGCAGGCAGGATCACTAGGGACTTTGAGGCTCTGGGCAAGAAACTCGGGGAGCTAAAGGCCCAAGTGGCCTTCTCGTCGATCTTACCGGTCTGGGGATTTGGGTCAGGCAGGGACAGGAGGGTCTCCGAGGTGAACGACTGGCTCAGGGTGTGGTGCCAGAAGGAACGCTTCGGGTTCCTCGACCACGGCACTCGTTTTCTTGCCAATGGACTTCTGGCAAGGGACGGGTTACACCTCACGAGGATGGGGGAAAGGTCCTTTGGAGATGCTCTAGCGAGCTTCGTCCGGAAGACTTTAAACTGAGCCGGGGGGGAGGGTTCAGGCCCCCCAGAAACTTGTCCTGATGGGACAAGTGAGGGGAGACCAGGTTTTTGCATCCGGCATGTTAGAGGTACTGCAGGGACTGACAGGACTCCTACAGAGAGGGGCCAGGTATCAGGGAGGATGGGAGGGAGGAGGAGGCTGGGAACTCCAAGGACAGGAAGTGGTGGGAAGGAGCTGAGGTGCATGTACACCAACGCTAGGAGCATGGGTAATAAGCAGGAAGAGCTTGAGGCTCTCCTGAGAATGGGAGGGTATGACCTGGTGGGAATCACAGAAACCTGGTGGGATGAAAGGCAAGTCTGGAATGTGAACATAGAAGGGTATCACGTGTTTAGAAAGGACAGGAAGGGAAAGAGAGGTGGGGGCGTGGCTTTATACATCAGGGAAGGGACAGGGAAAGAGACCTGACAGTGGGGGTATGTTGTCACCCTCCAGGTCAACTTGAGACCCTGGATGATGTCCTGACAGACCAGATTCTAAGGATATCTCCGGGGAGAGACACTGTAATTATGGGAGATTTCAGTCTCCCGGATATTAGTTGGGAGACTCACTTGGCGGTGACAGCCAGGTCACGTCGCTTCCTAGAAGCTACAGAGGGAGGGTTTTCCACACACAGGGTCCGAGAGGCGACGAGGGGGGGAAACATCCTTGACTTGGTCTTGACCAATACAGAGGAGCTGATAGATGAAGTACAGATTAGGGGAGCTCTGGATGCGAGTGATGACTCCATCCTTTGCTTTGAGAGCGGGACTGGGGACGTGCAGGTCGAGCACTAGAAGCTGGGACTTCAAGAGGGCCAACTTTGGCCTATTGGAGGCCAGACTGAGAAGTCTCTTGGGATAGGTCACTGGAAGGCAGGGGAGTTGAGGGGTGGATGGCACTCAAAAGGGAGGTTTTAGAGCCACAAGCCTTGACAATACCTCTACTTAAGCCTTGATGATACCTCTATGCAGGGAGGCAAAGGAGAGTGCTGCAATGGGTGCAAAAGGAGGTGGTTAGAGGGATTAGACGAAAGAGGAACCTCTGTAGGAAATGGGTGCAGGGGCAAATAGACAAAAGGGTATACCGGGAGGAGGAGGCCGGTGCAGAAGGATTCTTCACAAGGCTAAGGCTGATGATGATGATTTGAGACTTGCAAGAATACCAAGAGCAACAAAAAGGGCTTCTTTCAGCTGAGGAGCAGGTACTCTGGATCTGGACAGGCTATGGAAGTGGGCAGGGGACAACAGGATGGCATTCAATGGGGGTAACTGCAAGGTCTTGCACTTGGGCCATAGGAATGGGTGTCATAAGTACAGGTTAGGGGACAAGTGGCTGGAGAGCAGCACTTGTGAAAGGGACCTTGGGGTGCTGGTTGACTGCAGGCTGAACATGAGTCAGCAGTGCAATGCGGTGGTCGAGAGGGCGAACACCACCCTGGGTTGCATAGCCAGAAGTGTGGCTTCTTGATCAAGAGAGGTATTACTACCACTCTTCTGGTGTGCCCACAACTGGAGTATTGAGTTCAGTTCTGGACCCCTTGTTACAAGAAGGATATAGCAAGGCTGGAATCGGTGCAGTGAAGGGCCACCAGGATGGTGGCTGATTTGCAGGATAAGCCATATGAGGTGAGACTGCGGGAACTGGGTCTCTTCAGCCTGGAGAAGAGGAGACTCCGAGAGGATCTGTTGGTGACATAGAGGTAGATGGGGCTGCGTCACGCCAATGTGGGTCATGACCGTTTTTCCCCTGCCGATGAGGGCATGAGGAGTTCCAGGGGAGCAAACCTCAGGGAACCAAGGTTCAGTTTGAGTGCCGGGAAGCACTTCCTGACAGTCAGGACCCCGAGGGCGTGGAATGGGCTTCCCCGGGAGGTAGTTGAAGCCCCATCGGTGAGGGTGTTCAGGGATAGGCTGGACGTGTACATGGTAGGTATGTCATGAATGGAACCGGCTGGAGCCAGGGGTCAGACTAGATGGCCGGGGAGGCTCTTTCTGACTAGCTCTGTTTCTCTGTTTCTGTGTTTATTCACTAGGTGTTACTGTTGCGATTTTGCCAACCACCGCATCAGTATAAACACCCTTGGTCACACCTGTCCCATAGCTGTAGAAATTCATGCAGAACTTAGCAGGGTCTTCACATTAATTCCCTTGGCATTGCAGTGGCTACTCAACTCCCAACTTTCATGCAAGAGGACTTCAGATCGCCCCTTCTGGGGGCAGTGATCGGAGTGGGCCCTTGGCCTAAACTCTGCCTCTGGCGTAGACTGGCAAAGTATAAACCAAACCAGTGGCGTGTGGCCAAAGCTCCACACTCTCCTCCCCCATTAGAAAAGGAAGAAGGGGGGCAAACTGATGTGCAGGGCCTTCCGCCCACTTTTGCCCTCACACCATCCTTGGGAGGGAGGAACTGGAAAGCGTGTGGCTGGTGCAGGGCGGCTTCTGGACTGTCCTGCCTGAGCCATATGCCCTGCTGCGCATTAGCTTCAAGGAACATTTTAAAATGATTTTCCTACTTGTCTTTTTTACTGCTGAGCCAGGTCCTGGCAACCCATTCAAAGGCGCTGGGGTAGTAGAGTCAACGTGGGAAAGGGAGGGCATGAAACATCTGGTGAAGACACCAGTGCACTGCATGCCCAGCAGGTTTCTGATGCAGCCCAGTTCAGATCTTGGGGTTTTTCCTAAGGGCCAAAACTGGGGGAGTGAAGCCGGCATCCTTGGGAGAACAGTGTGCACTGGGTGTGGGCAGGGAATTGCTTGTAGCAGCGTTTTAAAAGATCCTCCGTCTTGTCAAATGCAGTGCCAGGAAATAAGAACGTCGGAGAAGCCATGCTTCAGATCAGGGGCCCCCTCAGCGCAACTCCCCATGTAAGCGCCCCGTAAAGCTGCTCAGCAGTGGGCGAATGCAGGCCTGCCGCCTCTGGCAATGGAGACACCAGTTAGGCTGGTAGCCACTGCTGCCCGCTGCCCCCGGCGTCTGGCCAGTCCCCCTTTAAGGAAGGGCCTTCTGTAAACCATTCTGAGTGCATTGCACTAATTCAAACATGCACGAGATACTTTAAATGAGTTAAATAAAGCCTTCCAAATTGGTGGTCATCACCCTTTCCCCTGATGATGAATTTCATTGTTTAACTACACATTATATGGAGGAGGACTGGAAGTGTGTTGCCTGTGGAGTCTCTGTGCATGCCCCAGAGCCGGACGGCAGAGGGTTGCTTGTGTAAGCATTTCCTCTTTGACGGATGGGGGGAAGCCTGAGCTTTGCATAGGCTGCAAGGCTGGTAGAAATCCAACAGATGCAGCATTTCCCCCATGGAGACAGTCCTCTAAAGGCTTCACAAGTCAGATTTCTACCAGCCTTGCAGACCCGTTTCCCTGGGTGCAGATGAACACATTGGTAGGAACCGGGACAGCAGAGCCTGTGAGAGGCTGAAAGGTTTCTGCTTATTTTCTGCCTCTCGGAACTCAAGTGCACCAGGCAGAGCTAGGAAAAAGGACGGAAGGACACAGCACTCTTCTGCTTCCATGCAGACACTGCCACCTGCAGGACATGTCCAAAGGGGGTGAAACTTAACCGGTGTCCTTTTAGTTCTGCCTTGCCATCTGGTGCCACTCAGGTGGGTTGGACTCCAGTGCCCATCATGACAACGCTGGCTGGAAAGGTAGGAGTTGCAGTCCAACATGTATGGAGAGCTTTAGTTGAATGCGGCTTGATGTTCAGCCTTGCCCTAAAAAGAGATGGTGGGCGGGAGACTGGTTGCCTTTGGCCCAGGAGGACCTTTGGCATGCAGCTTGGGCGCTGCAGGTCTCCTTTAGGCTGGACTTCAGGAAGCTTCCTCACAGCTGGAGCAATATGACAGTGGGACCAGCTGCCTGGAGAGGTGGGGGGCTCTCCCACGAGACTTTCGAAAAGAAACGGGGCAGCCACCTGAGTGGGATGCTGTGACTTGGTGTCCTACAACGGCAGGGGGCTGGACTCCTTTCAGCTCTACTCTTCTGATTCCCATCTCCAGTCCTCCAAGGTGGTGTCTTCCTCTTGTGCAGACCTTCCTTTGTACAGAAGTGACTTTGGTGACTGCACTTTGCACAGGCTCAGGGCCCTTCTCATTTTGGGCTGCAGGCTCAGCCAAGCGTTTCAGAGGAGTTTCAGGAGCAGTCAGGCTGCCAGATGCAGGCACCACTGGCACGGGGTGGGGGGGCAGCTGCAATTTCTCCCCCAGGGACGACAGACCATGGATGGCTCCTCCCCTTCATGGGTGTCATGGAGAACGTGGATGTTCATCTTGCAACCCTTACGGACCCCATCCAGGGGTGCTAAGCAGCAATTTCTGTCATGAAAACAATGGGCACTGCAGCCAAGCAACCTGGTGGAGGCAAGCTTAGGCAGGAGGCACTCCTTCCATGCCTGACAAAATCCCGCCCACCACCTCAGAAGGGATGCATTGATCGTGCAGGCACATCCACACGCTCCGAAGCATTCAGATAATCCTTTGCAAGTACTCTCCAATCGTTACCTTTTTGACAGCTGTGTCGGGAGGAACATAACTCGGCTGGCAAGCACGGCTGGGGAGAGACGGAAGGACGTGAGCTCAGAACAGGGGCTCCAAGATAGGCCAAGGTACCCCCAGTGTGGAGTGGGGCATGGTGGAGATGGAGGGACCCCTATGCCTGGGGCTCTTCCTAGTGCCTGCCCCTACTTCCTCCAGACTTGCTAGGTGCCCAGGGGCATCTGGAATGGCCTGGGATTGAGTCAAAGGGCAGAAAAGCTGAGCAGAGGCTGCCGGGCATTTGGGGGGCAGCCTGCTGTGGGCAAGGCCAGCTGCTCCACTGATCCTGCCCAGGAAAGGAAGTATAAGCAGCCCTTCACCCCAATGGGAAGACAAAATGCTTTATTGTAAATGGTGCTGACATTAGCACAGAATTGTTTGTCCAAGCTCAGCAAGGGAAATGCCCGGCACTGGCCTGAGCGCCTTCTCTGTGTCCCCTCCCCTCCGTGCACATTTCGCCTCCCCTTCTCCCCGTGCTTTTGGGTGGCTTCTCACTTAGGCTTTGCTGTCCTGTGTGGGCCACGCTACAAGCCGGTGCCACAACCTGGTACACGGACTAAACCTGAAGTATGTTTTCTAGAACTGAGGTGAACCAGAAGCCTTATCCCATAAAACAAATAACTGGGATTAAACAAATAATTTAAAAAACCCGTATAGTTCTCCCGCTGAGCTTGTACACAGATAAACTCACAGGCATGCAGGCATTTATTTTTGTTTTGGAACTCCAATTAATGTGACTTAACAGATATCTTTGGGCATGACAAAACAGAAGGGTAGCAACTGGGTCCCAGAGTTGAGTCACCGAATGAAGAGAAGCCCTTTTGCTTCACTGCTCACGTCATCATCAGTACAGGCAGCAGCCCCAGAACAACTTGGCTACTCTGCAAGGCTCCTCAGCCCGCTCATCAAGGCTGCGCTCTCAGACAGCAGCCACAGGGGCATTCCAGAGCATTCCCTGCCCAGCAGCCAGATCACGCAGTCATTTCTGTACTGGGAAATCCCATTCTCCTTATAGAACTTCTGCAAATGGGCAAACTGCAACATTGCAGGAATGCAGTCAAGGTTGCCCTACTAAACCATTTGCAAGTAGTTGGCTGGGGGGCAGTTTTCCTGCCTCTTCAGCTTTTCGTACCACTCTGCTTCTCCCTGTCATCTGGAGAGGTCCTGTGCCATTTCAGTCTAGACGTCCACAGGGAATGCACAGTCTGTCTTGCTGCACTCCTTGCAGCCTGCACTCCGTTTCACCAAACTATTCCACCCTTCAAGCTCCACATGAACCATTTTTCTTTACTTCACCTACCAGCCGTGTAGCTCTGAGCACTGAATGCCTTATGAAACCCACAGAAAAATATCTCTTCAAACCAAGGACTAAGATCTCTGCTCTTGCTTGGTCACTGCAAGGGAAGTGCCCCCGGGGACCAAACCATGAGCTTGTGAAACCACAAAGTCTGCATCCCCACCACCACCCATTCCTAGTTCACCTGCCTCTTCTTGCTGCCAGTGCAGGTGGCGATAGGAGGGCTCATTCCTTTCGTTTGCTGGAAAGACATTGTGTCTTTGCCATCCTCCAAGCTCAGCTTGTCAGAATTGCAGGCAAGCCAACACTGGGGACTACCAGTCTTGTGAGTTATCCCGGAAGGCAGCAACACAGATGGAAACTGGCCAGGGTAGGTGGCCCTTCTATCCCCGGCTGCACAAGGGGATGGCTTTCTCCACTGGAGGCTCTGCTTCAGAAGGAAACCAAAATCCGCCTGGATTCAGGAGTGAGGGGATGGTGGTCCTATTGCCCCCAAGTTGCTGCATGGGGCGGGGGAACCTCGCATCCCCTGAATCTTTCCCACACCTGCCATTATACCAGAATGGCAATGCAACTTGGCTACTCTTACGTCCAACTCCCAAACTGCTGCATCTCCTCCCTGGACCTGTCTGAAGCCCTGCACGCCTTTGCACAGGGCAAACGCAGGAGGCAGGAGAGAACGGGGCGCTGGGCCGCAGGCTGCCCTGTGCTTCCCCTCCTTAGCCTCGCCCCGCCTTTCCCAGCTCGCTCTGGGGTGCCGAGTCGCTTCTAACCACAGTGTAGGACATCAAGTGTGCCGTAATGCTTGTGGAGCCCTCGGCGGAGAGGAAGCCCTTCTAACGGCAGTTCTGCATCTGCCCCACTGACTGGAGTCCCTTGCCTTGCAGGGCTTGGCTATTTGCATCCCAGTCCCTCCCACTAGTCTAGGAAGCACCGGCGGGAGCCCATCCGGGACCGGTTGGAGCGCCGGATGTCAAACTTGGAGTCTCGGCACTTCTGGCAGACAAAGACTTCAGGGACATTGGACTTGCGGATTTTGGCACAGGAGAGGTGGATCCAGGTGTGGCATTCATCACACTCGATCATGGGGCGTCCAGCAAAGGGCTTCATGCAGAAACAAGTCACAAGGTCCCAGGAATCATCATCTGGAAATCAAGTTATGGGAAAGGCAGTCACATGAGGAGGAGTGCAAGACAACTGGGAAGACAGCTGGAGAACCTGTCATTTACAGCAATGGCCCCTGCAGTGGGACCAGACTGGCCTTCCCCAACCTGGTACCCTTTGCGCAGCGGGGACTGGGAGTCCCAGTGAAAGTTCTTGGGAAAGTGTGACCTCAATAGCTTTGCAGTGCCTGATCATGTAGCCTTCTGTCTGCAGCAGGTGAGGCAGAAAAGAGCAGCAGTGCCCTAGAAGGAAATTATTTGCTGGGCTGGCATTTCATCGCTTCCAGTAATATCACCCCACAATCCCAGTTACTGTTCTGTTGTTGTTCAGTCGTGTGCCACCCCCAAATGCCAATTAAGAAAGTGCTGCTTATCAACCGGGTGAAATAAGCCTGCTTCCCTCATTGGCAAACAGTGGATGAGAGTGCCTGAGGGATACACTTCAGGGTGGGAAGGCGGGCAGCAGTCCAGCTGGCCTGTGCCACATGGCATTCACTGCCTGGACTGCTGGGCCCTCCTGCCACACCAACTCGTGCCTCCCCAGATGCTCTGTGACCTGCCTGGGACCGGCAGGGGATGAAGGAAGATGCCTTTCCCCAGCTTCATGGGCCAGGACCAGGAAGCCCCAGGATCTGCCTGGAACATTAGGGTGCCGCTAGGCAGCGTGAGGCCCTCCACGCACAGGCCATGCCCAGGCTGGCTGCACCACTACCGCCCACCCCCTTGGGGCTACCTGAATCCACCATGATGTCCTCATCATCGCCGCTGCCGTCCTCATCCCGGAACACCACCTGCTTGCCCTGCCGGATGATGGTGCGCTTGCCCACGGTCTGCACCGGGCTCTGCTCCGCCTGTGGCACTGCAGGGTGGAACGAGGGGCTGGACAGCGTGTCCGAGTCCCACGCGGAGCAGCGTCTCACGGAAGACTGCCCCTCGCCTTCAGAAGAGGGGCTCGCAGGCTGGCCGCCCTTCAGCAGCTCCCCCTTGTACTCCACCTCAGGGGTGAGCGGCAGTGTGTCCCTCCTCAGGAGCCTCCTCCTCTTCCTCATCTTCTTCCTGTCCGCCAGGAAGCCGCCAGGGCTCGCCCACTGGTAGACGGAGGAGTATGGCTTCCCGTGCCTCAGCTGGCTGAAGCTCCTTCGGGGCTCCGCGGGCAGGGTGAGCGCAGCGGGGAGGTCCCCAAACCGGGGATCCCCGCTGTCACTGTCGGCTGTGCTGCCAGTGCTGCTTGGCGGACTGGGGCTGCTCCATACGGGGGGCTCCTGTCAAAATAGGGAGGGGCAGAGGGGAAGGGAGGGGAGGCTGCAGCTTTCACGGGGGGCCGGGTGACCCACACGATTTCAGGCCTCTGCCCTGCAAGATTTGGGGCCACATGCACCTTCATGCCGTGGGCAGCCACTTTAGGCAGAAGTGACACGGTTTGCAGACGGACCGCCGCGCCGGTTCTGGGAAAGGCCCCCCCCGGGCAGGAGCGGCGCCCCCCCCCCGCCTTCTCGTTCTCGGGAAGCACCGCCCGGCAGGCCCTCCCACGCCCGCCGCCCTCCAGCCGGGTGGCCCGCGCCCCCGGCCACCCCGGATACTCACCTCCTGCGGGCGCGGGACGTATCCGGCGTAGGCCAGGACGAAGGTGCAGAACTTATTGAAGTCCTCGACGGTGCGGCACCGCGGAGTGCCCGGGCGGCAGGCCTGTCGAGAGAGAGCCGTGCGAGGCCGGGGGGCGGGCTAGGGGGCGCGCCCCCGGACGGTTCGCGGCCGCTCCTTCCCGCCCCGGTTCCCGAGTACGGCGCTACCGGCGGCGCCCACCGGGGGCTCCCCGGCGAGGAGGGGGCGCCGAGGGGGGAGGGGCACCCTCCCCCGCGCGCCGCCGCCCCCCCGGCCCAGCCCTCCGCGTGCCGGGCACGAGTCCCGGGGGCGGGGCGGACTGCGCGCGGGACGCGTCCTGGGCTCCGGAGCCGCCGGCGGAGGCGAGGCGGCTCCGGGGCTGCCCTGCGCGGGGGGCGCGTGTCAGCCTGGGGGGGAGGGCGGGAAGGGGAGGGGCCTCACCTCGGGGGGCAGCGGGGAGGCGCGCGAGTCCGAGTCCATGGCGCGCGCGGCTCCGGCAGCTCTCCTGGTACCGGCAACGGAGAGGGGCGGGGCGAGGACCCCAGAGCCCCGCCCCTCGACTGGCAACAGCCATCTCCGCTCCCGATGGGCATGCGCGGCGCGCCAGGCACGCCGGGGATTGTGGTCTCTGCATTGAGCGCGAGCTTCTGTACGACAGGCGCATGCGTTCTATTTGCGAGGTGCCGCGCATGTCGGTGGGTGTATTTCTGAACTGTCCTCCCGCCGGCGGGGCGCTACGGCCGCCGGCTCCTGACTCCGCCTCTTGGCGCGGGGCATGTCTGGCAGCGTAGTCCTGCGCGCCCCCTCAGTGCTCGTAGACCCCGCTGCTCCCGTTTCAAAGCTGCTGCTGAGGCAACGAGGAGCGGCGGGCCAAGCGGGCCGAAAGGGAGCGCAGCAGAGCCCCTGTCCTTCCTGTGAAAAAGCCTCTGGCCTGCCTCGCAGGGTTGTTGTAAAACGGACTGGCCGGAACGGGGTGGTCTCAGCCGCCTGGCGCTACTCGCGCGGGGGAGAAGCAGTGCAAGGAAGGAAGGGCAGGCCGACCGGGCAGGCGGCTGCGGAGCGGGCGCCCACGGCAAGCGAGCATCCGCCGCGTCCGGAGAACTGGAATGCCGCGGCGCTGCCGGGAGCCTCTCGAGGGGCCGGCCGCTTTCGGAGCCCCGGGTTCCGCCCGTGCGCTCGCCTGTTCGGAAAGGAGGCTTCGGGGCGGGGAGCAACCTGCAGCCCGTGGCTGCAGAGCCAGGCCCCCGCGGGGCGGACGGGGCCCCTCACCAGCCCCAGAAGGGCTAGCCCCCGACCATCGCGGCCTAGAAGGCGCGGCCTTCTGGTCCCCCGCCCCGAGGACTGGCAACTTGCTTTCGCTTTTTAATCAGGCCGCTCTTTCTAGAAATCCTATTATTGGCTGTGCACTCTTACGTGTTACTTCGTTCATTCGCTCCTGTATTAGGGTTCCTTTGCCACAGTGCCGCAAAAGTGGCTGTGTCAGCGGGCGCCACCCCTTCTGGGTCTCGGCGTTAGGTTAAAAGCTGCTCATTTGCCCAGGTTTCATAAAGGACTGTAGTGGTCTTTGGTCTGTTTGCTGGGCTCTTTTTATGCATCCCTTTTGCTTTCCTTGTAATGTTCTGTTTTACTGTACCACTGTATTGTGACCTACTTTGGATTTTTCGCCTCTTGCATTCTCAGTTGAAGGGTGGCTTAAAATATTTTTACGGCACGATCTTACGTACATTTAGATAGAAAAGGGGGCTGCAAGCTCTTGAGTATACTGGGAGTTACAGACTTTATTTTGGCCTAAACATGCATAGGATCACACCTATTATTCCCAATCTAATTAACAAAATAAGTTTGCTTTCTGCTTCTGTTTTAACTCCTAAATAAATTTAAGCTACCAGTTAATTTAAAAAACCCTCACATGATTAATCAACACTGACTTATTTGGGCAGCATTGCTTCTTACTAGCCCTACATTTCCTCGCCTCTGCACAAAACCTTTCAATAGCTATCCTTTTTTTCTTTCTTAGAAGAGCAGAGGATTACACACAGCGCTGACGGGCTGAATGTGGTCGATGCCAGGCGACCTTCCAGTTTGTGCTTGCAAAATGCAGGAACCGGTTTCCCAGCGTCCTTTGACTCACTGCTATCCAGTGACAGCTGCCTAACCCTCCGGGGGGCTGGTGGGCCACTTCTCCCGCCCGTGGGGACTGGCTGGGAGCTGCAAGGGCCAATGCGTAGCCTGCCATGGGAAGCTCCTGGCCCAGCGGGATCCCAGCTCATCCCATGGCTGGACGGACAGGCGGGCGCGTGGACCTCCTCCCCACGCACACTCCAGCAGGCGCACTGCTGCCTTGTGGCCACAGAAGGAGCACAAAGGAAGGCTTGTAGGTGATTCAGACAACCTGCTGAATGACAGGTGAATGTGGACAAGTTCCAGAGAAGCAAGTTTCTCTCAGAGCCAAATTAAGTTGCAATTCGTGTTGCAACATGAGAACATTGACAAGCATTGAGCTTGGACGAAAAACACAGACTATCAAATCCTTGGCATGCGCAGCCATTAATGAAACGGACCCTTTTAGCGCCTACCATTGGAAAAATATCCCAGCGTCCTTTAGCCAAGTCCTAGCTCATGGGTCCTCAAACTCCGGCCTGTGGGTCGCATCCAGCCCGCCATGCCCATTTAACTGGCCCACCCCAGAGGTTTTGTACTCGCCGTGCGCATGCGGGAGCAAGTGGCGGCTTGCTCGCGGGGAGATCGTTTTGGACTCACTTGGAGAAAATGATCTCCGTGCAAGCAAGCTGCTGCCTCGCCCCGTGCGCCCCCCGCCCCTGCTCGCCATGCGTGAGTGTGCGCGTGCCCTGCCCCCTCACCAGCCCAGGCCCCCCCACCGGCACCGCCTTGGCGGCCTGCACCACCCTGGCACCTTTCAACTGGCCCCCGTTGAAAAAGTTTGAGGACCCCTGCCCTACAGCTTAATGGCCAGCACAGTGAGAGGCCCCAGCAGGCTGGGGCGGGCCGCTCTGATCACCACACCAACATGGCTCCCGCCAGTGGGACCACTTTTTTAACCTAACCTTGAAGTTGTTTTCTGAACTGCTAGAGCTCAGGCAATCTGGTACTTTAAAAATACAGAGCCAGTTGAAGGCCAGGGTTAAGGCTCTGATGTCGGCTCAGGCTTCAAACAGTCGGCATGCTGGAAGCTGAGGCTGATCCCTGGGCAGACACAAGCTGTGTGACCAGCATTCATACTGCAAGCACGGCTTCTTGAAGCAGGAGGCATCAAAGCAAGATGCTCTTGGCCCCCCTTTCCTTGCAGGCACATGGTGGAAGTGAGTCCCCAAGGCCTTTTCTCCAGGTTGGCATTGGAGCAGGCACCAAAGCTGTTCCCTGCTGCTATTTCGTACCAGCCATGAGGCTCTGGCTGAAAAGTAGCTGGTCCTTGTTGCATTCTTGTAAAAGGCGAACTCAGCGCAGCGAAGCATACCGTGTTCTCCCGAGCAAGCTCTCAGCCTGCTGTCACAGCCTTTGGGACAGAAGTGGCACTCAACCAAAAGATCCAGCATCATGAAATCTGGAGTCTGGGGGTTGCCTTGCACAGGTAGACGTCTATGGCCTAGAACAGATGTGTAGCGCCCTCTCAAATGGGACCCAGGTTCTGTTTGGAGTTCTTGCAGGTGTCCTCCAGATTTCCTCATCAGGCTATTGGGGTATTTCAGGACCAAATTGGTTATTTGTTGGTTGAAACACCTCTTTATTCATTTATGTCATGTCTTTTCCCTTTCAAGGAACTCAAGGCTGCTTACACTCCTCCTCCTCCTCCCCCTCCCCCTCTCTGATTCACCTTCACATCAGCCGTGGGCAGGTTTGAGAGTTTACGCCTTGTGCTGCTCTTACGAGACCGATTAGGGATTTTGTGTTGTGCTGCTTGCCCAGCCACCAACAAACTCCCTGCCTGAGCTGAAGGAGATGACCTTGGACCCAGAATGTTGGCTCTGGGGGACCTCGACTTCCACGTTGAGGCCATTTTGTCCGAGGCAGCTCAGGACTTCATGGCTACCATGACCACTGTGGGACGGTCTCAGCATGTCATCAGCCCAGCATACATAAAGGGTCACACTCCCTGGACTGGGTGATCTGGAAGTGGAAGGGCTAACAGCAACCCCTTTGTCATGGTCAGATCACTTCCGTTTGAGGTTTAAGCTTTTGGCCCCCTTTCCTCTCTGTGAGGGTGGGGGACCTATTAAAATGGTCTGCCCCCCAGAGACTGATGAGTCCAGATGGTTTCCAGAGGGCTCTGGGGGTGTTTGGACCGATATGGCTGGCGTGCCTGTCAAACCCCAGGTCACTCTCGGAATACGAAGATGGCCTAGGCAGTTGTCACAATCATATCCAAGCGCCCTCTTCACCAACGCGGAGCCCGTACAGCCTCGTAGTACACTCTGGAGCTGGGGATGATGAGATGTGCAGGAAGGTGGCTTGAGCACAGATGGAGCGACACTCACTCATGAGACTGAACTCAGCTTAGAGCATATTACTGCACCTACGCTGTGGTGCTGAAAGCAGCAAAGAAAGCTTACTTTTCCACCTCCATTGTTGTCTCGCAGAGCTGTTCTGAGTGGTTCAGGGCCTTTTACAAACTGGCCCAGTGAAAGAAATGGTGGAACCCACAGTGGCCTGCCATGAGCAATATATACAGCACTTTAAGGGTAAAATTGCCTGGATCCATCAGGAGTTGGACTCCATGGCTGATGCAGCTCCTTTGGCTGGGGTGCCCAGTCCACCATCTCTTCCAAGTTTATTGAATGAGTTTCAGTTGTTGAAGCCCGAGGATGTGGTCAAGGTGCTTGGATTGGTTCATCCCACTACCTGTATGCTAGACTCTTGCCCATCATGGCTGGTTGTTCAAGGTGAGGAGGTGTGTCCCAGGGTCCTGGAGACTGTAAATGCCTCTTTAAGAGAGCCAGTGGTCCCAGCCTCGTTATTAGACCACCCCTGAAAAGAGCCAACTTGGACCCAGTGGACATGAATAATTATAGACCAGTCTAATAGCCCCTTCCTGGGCAAGGTGTTTGAGCGGGCGGTGGCTGGCCAGCTCCAGACGCTCTTGGATGAAATGGACCATCATGACCCATTTCAATTGGGATTCAGACCTGGATTTGGAATGGAAACTGCCTTGGTTGCCCTGTGGGATGCCCTATGCTGGGAGAGAGAGAGGGGGAGTACGACCCTGTTGGTTCTCCTGGACCTCTCAGCGGCTTTGGATACCCTCAGCCATGGTTTCCTTCTGGGAGTTGGGAGTAGCAGGCACTGCTCTGTAGTGGTTCTGCTCCTACTGGGCTGACCATGTCCAGAAGGTGGTGATAGGAGATTATTTGCTCAGCGCCAAGGCATTTCTGACATGGAGTTCTGCAGGGCTCCATTTTCTCCCCCACACTTTTTAACATCTACACATATGTGAAACTGTTGAGTAACGTCATCAGGATGCTCTACCTTTCCTTCTCATCAGGCACAGGTGCGACAGCGGACCTTCCGCACTGAGGTCTGGCTGGGATACTGGACTGGATGAGAGCTAATCAACTGAGACTTAATCTAGACGAGGTGGAGATGCTGTTGGTGGGAAGTCCGTCTGTCCAGATGGGTGACATCTTGCCTGTCCTGGATGGGCTCGCACTCCTCCGAAAGGACCAGGTTTGCAGCTTGGGGTGCTCCTGGACCCTGAATAATTATCCTCCAGGAATTATCCCTGGAATTCTAGGTGGATTTGGTGGCCAGGAGCACCTTCTATCAGCTAAAGCTGAGATGGCAGCTATGACCCTATCTGGACAGACAGGACCTGGCAGTTTTCCATGCCCTTAAAACCTCGATGCATTTTACATGGGACTTCCCTTGAAGATGGTCCAGAAACTTCAATTGGTTCAAAACAGGGCGGCCAGATTGTTAATGAAGACTGGCAGATACAATCATATAAAGCCAGTCCACTATCATCTTCATAGCATCATAGAAGAGTAGAATTGGAAGGGGCCATGAAGGCCCTTGGGTCCACCCCCCTGCTGTTGCAGGACGCCAAGTCACAGCATCCCTCTCAGATGGCTGCCAGTTTCTTTTTGAACGCCTCTGGTGTGGGAGAGCCCAGCACCTCTCCAGGCAGCTGGTTCCACTGCTGTACTGCTCTGACAGTGAGGAAGCTTTTCCTGATGTCCAGCCTGAAACTGGGTTGTCAAAACTTAAATTGATTATTCCATGCCCTACACTCTGGCATCAGCAAGAAGAGATCTCGACCTTCCTCTTTGTGACAGCCTTGGAGGTACCTATACAGGGATCTCATGTCCCCCCTCTGTCTTCTCTTCTCAAGGCCGAACATGCCCAGTTCTCTCAGTCTCTCCTCAGTTCTCTCTCTTCACTGGCTTCCAATTGAGGTCCAGGCACAATTCAACTTGCTAACACTAGTGTTTAAAGTCATAAACAGCTTGGGGGCAGGATATCTAACGGAGCACCTCTTCCCATGCAAACCTACCTGGCACCTTAGATCTGCATCTGAGGCCCTTCTGAGTGAGCCCCCTCCTCAGGAAATAAGGAGGGCAGCAACAAGAAGGGCCTTCTTGGGAGTGGCACCCAGAGTTTGGAACAAACTCCCCAGAAAGCTTTGCCTGGAGTCCTTTCGTACTCTTTTTGACACCAGGCAAAGACCTTTTTATTTTGACTGCATTTTACTTCTGAACTTGCCTTAATTGGTATTTTAACAATGAGGTATGCCTTTTATGAAAATACAGTCCAGAAGGTATGTTTTTAATTAGTTTATTATTTTATTGCTTTAGGTAGGCATGGTAATGCACTTGGTGGGCATGTCATGAGTGGATCCGGCTGGAGCTGTGGGTCTGACTAGATGGCCTGGGAAGTCCCCCCTGACTCTCTCTCTTTCTATGTCTTGTAATTGTGATTGTGCTTTCATATTGTGTTACCTGGTTTTACTGCTGTAATCTGCCCAGGGAACCGTATGGCTGGGAAGGGGGTGTTTTTGACATCTAACAAGTAATTAAATAAGCTTTCTCTCTAGGTAAACAAGGCAAGCAGATCAGTCGGGGTGAAGGAGACGGGCAAGGTGCTGGTCTCCGCGCTGGAGAAAGCCTTCTCTGTGGTGTCGTCTGCCCAACCTAGGACGTCCACCTGGCCGGCGCGGTGGCAAAACGGGGGCCTGCACCTCCCCGCAGGCCCTCTCCCGCGGGGCCGCAGGCCGCTCTGCCAGTCCGCTCCGCTTCGAAGCGGGCCCCGGAGCCCCTTCCGGCCCTGCGTGCTGCGGCGCTCACGCCGCTACTCGTTCCTCGGGGCGCGCGCACCGAGCAGCCGGATGGGCCGCGAGCGTCGTGCGGGGCGCACGGGCCTGGCGAGCGCGAGGCCCCCCGCGGCGGCCCCGCGCGCCGAGAGCGACGCCGCCGCCTCCTTCGCGGGCGGGCGAGGCGCGCCGCGGCCGCTGGAGGGGGTGCGAGCGCC